GTCCAAACCCTAAAATTTGGGTCTAAATCCCCCAAACCTGGTTCCAAGCCCCCCAAATCTTTGTCCAAACTTCCAAAATTTGGGTCTAAATCCCCCAAATCTGGGTCTAAACCCCCCAAATCTGGATTGAAACCCCCAAAATTTGGGTCCAAACCCCCCAAAAACTGGCTCTGAACTGTGGCCAAACCCCCAAATCTGTGTCCAAACCCCCCAAAATTTGGGTCCAACCCCCTCAAATCTGGGTCTAAACCCCCCAAATCTTGTTCTAAACCCCCAAACCTGTGTCCAAACCCCTGAATTTGGGTTTAAACCCCCCGGATTTGGGCTCCACTCACAGGCCACGCCGCCCACGAGCAGCAGGTGCCGGGCGCGGGTCAGGGCCAGGGCTCGCTCCGTCACCTCGCAGAGCATCGCAAAAACCGTCTCCTGGGACCACAAAAACCCAAAATCAGCCCCAAAAACCGCTCGGCCAACCCCAAAAACCCAAAAAACCACCTCGAAAACCCAAAAAAACACCCCGAAAACCCAAAAAACCACCCCAAAAACCCCAGAAACGGCCCCAAAATCCCATAAATCAACCCCAAAATCGCACCCAAAACCCGCTAAACGGCCCCAAAATCCCAGAAATCAACCCCAAAATCGCACCCAAAACCCCCTGAACTGCCCCAAAATCCCATAAATCAACCCCGAAATCGCACCCAAAACCCCCTAAACGGCCCGAAAATCCCATTAATCGCCCCCAAAATCCCATTAATCACCCCAAAATCGCACCCAAACCCCCTTAAGCCGCCCCAAAATCCAACAAATCACACCCAAAACCCTCTAAAACCGCCCCAAAATCCCATTAATTACACCCAAAAACCCCAAAATCACCCCCCTAACTTACCCTTAAAACCTTCAACTTGGTCCAAAATCTCACTAATTACCCCCAAAATCTCATTAATTACCCCCAAAAACCCTTTAAACAACCAAAAACACCCCAAAACTGCTCCCAAAATCTCATTAATTACCCCCAAACCCCATTAATTGCCCCCAAAATCCCTTTATTAGACCCCAAACCCCCCAATTAACCCCCCAAACCCTAATTAACCAACTAATTAACCCCGTTAATTAACCTGCAAGGAGAAGCAAAGGTCCTCCGGCGTCGCCTCCCCCGACTCCAACAGCTTTGGGGTCACCGCCTTTGGGGGGGATTTTTGGGGTCATTTTGGGGGTTTTTGGGGTCATTTTGGGGGGTTTTGGGGTCCCCCCGGGTTTGGGGGTGTTTTGGGGTCTCAGGGGGTGGTTTTGGGGTCACTTTGGGGGTTTTTTGAGTCATTTTGGGGGGTTTTGGGGTCATTTTGGGGGGTTTTGGGGTCATTTTGGGGGGTTTGGGGTCATTTTGGGGGTT